CTTCCAAATAAGAATACAATCAAACGAATACAATACGCTGAGTGCTGACCCGCGCGTTTACGCCAGCCCACATGCATGCAATTGAGTAAGGGTGTATAGTAAATTACTCGCATACCCCAGGATTTCTTTTCTTTACACCACCCCATCAATGATCCCAGAAACATGCAACAACCGACAGATGAGTAACCAAGTAAACGGCCTTCTACGAAGTTTCTCTCCCATGATCTTTGTTTGCGAAGATTTCTATATTTCACCCTTCACCTCCCAAAGCCTCCCAGTTCCCATTAGATACCAGATCCTCCTCCTTACTGGTTCTTCATCGTCAGCTCCCTTTACTGCTCTTTCTTCCGCCTCAGTTCTATCATCCCCACTCAAAAAGATGAAGCTTTGGTCACCTCCCCCGTCAAAAATCAAACTCCCCCCTGAAGATATCAGGATCAACACCGACAACGACCTTCTCAGCCAGGTCCCTACGATTCATCTGGGTGAACACCCGGCGCAGGGTGTCATACAACGTCGTGCTCCTATTCTGCGTCATCATGACCTCGATCCTAGCATCGGCCGACGAAGGGTCGCCGCCCCCCTGCATGGCCAAGAGCTCGCGGGCCTTTTCCCTGCCGCTCTTCTCGACGCTCTTGTGCATATCTAACGAAGCCAACAAGTGTCCTGCAGCCTCAGCGTGGCATCCAATATTGATACACGAGACACCAAGGTTATATCGCGCGCGGACAAAGTTAGGGTTGATCGACAGGGCTTTCTCGTAAGCAGCGATGGCTTCCTCTGAGCGGCCAGAGTTGGCCAGCGTGGCGCCGAGGCGGTTCCAAAGGAGATGGATCTGCTCGCGCTGGTTGGACGTGCCCATCTCTGAGCTGTGCAGCGCAGCTTGGAAGCAGTCCACCGCCTTGTCGTACTCTTCCGCCCCGTAAAAGAGGACACCAAGGCCAACTTGGACGTCTGGATCCATGTGGTCTCCATCGGGAGCCAGACGAGCAGCATCGATGAAAAGGTTGGTAACGCGCTCGTGGAGCTGAGCACGGTCGGTGAAGCCCATATCAGCCGCGGATGAGAGGTCATTGGGGGTGATGACACTGGGATACTTGACTGAAAGCCACCTCTCGAGGGTGCGGTAGGCGGTGCTGTCGTAACCCTCGTTGGTGTAAGACACCGCAAGACCCATCAGCGCGGGGAGGTTGTTGGGATCAAGCTTCAGGGCTTGTTCGAGCGCGCGGATAGCAGCATCTTCCTTCTCGTTCTGAGCTTGAGCACTGCCCAGGTAGACCCAGGCCTCAACGTGCTGCGGATCCTTCTGCGCCGCGGCCTCGAATGCAAGAGCTGCCATTGAAAGGTTTCCACCCTCGTTCATGATGCGCAGACCCTCCTCGAATGGGTTCCCCGAGGCCTGGAAGATGTTTTCGTCTTCAAACAGGTACTCCTGCACAATGGGATCGGCCCCCAGCCGGTTGTTAAGGCCCCAGTCGTGGAGGTTATCACCACCGAAATTGGAACTGTCGAACTTGGCAAAGTCCTCCTCAATCTCGTCCAACTCCTTCAACTGCTCATGTTCCGCCTGAATACCGCGCCATATCGATTCCAGGTCGCCGTACCCGGTTTCAGAGCGCATCAGCTTCTCGTCCATTTGATTCAGCTCGGGCTCCATCGCCGCAGCCTCATCCTGGGCCGTCTCGCGAAGCTGCTGGTCGTGTAGCTCCATTTGCTTGAACTGTTCCTCCCACTTGTTCTCGTCAAGCTCCACCACCTTGCCCTTGCCCTTGCCCTCGACCTCTTGTTGTTGCGGTGGGGGGTGAGCCATGTGCATCTGAGTATTGAACATGGGCTGATACATGGGGCGCTGCATCATGCCGTAGCTCATACCACCACCCATCATCATGGGACGTTGCGCCATGCTGGCACTCGCAGCGGGGATCGGGGCGGCGTGGGAGACGGAGGGGTTCATGTGCTGGAATTTGGCGAATTCTTCGGGGCTAAAGTGAGTGCCGGGCGGAGCATTGAAAGCAGCTTCCATGGCGGCCTGGGTGTCTGGAGGCGCCCACGACGGAGACATGGGCGATGCGGTCTGGGCATGGAGGTGGACGCTATGGTTTGGATCGATATGGACGTGGCCCATAGGGCCTTGCTGTTGCTCGAGGGGCATCTCGGCGAGATTGGGGTTCTGGTGCAGGAAGCCGTTCATCATTTCGTCTTGGGGGGTATTGCGACCGGCGCTCCTAAAACCACCGAGTGAGGCGTTCGGCCCTCTGCCGACAAGCCTGTCATGTTGCAAGCTCTTGTCGTCCCCAACATGTTTTGTAAACTGGCTCAGCGGGTTGCCCGCGGTCGAGCACTCAGCGCCACCTAGAAACGACATGATTGTGGATGAAAGCTTTCGTGTCGACGCGGCGAGGAAGGAGTGAGGGAGACAGCGGTGAAAACTTCCAGAGTCGATGGGGACTTGGAGGAGAGAAAAGGAGGGCCCAGTGCGCCCTGAACTGCTGACAAAAGCGCCCGCGTGGAGACCGGTTCAACGCTTGCGAGGGCGGTGGCCAATTAGAGAACTAATCACGATTGTTACCGCAGAGCTCTGGTCGGGGTCTTGGGTCCAATATGATGAAAAGAAAAGAAAACAGTGACAATGTTGAAGGAATGAAAAAGTAAACAGCCGTAGTTGGGTTTGTTATCCTATGCAGGTGACCTTATACCGCCATATCTAAATCCACGTTTGGGTGCCCGCCACCTGTAAATGCCGAGGCAGCTTCCCCCCATTTCCGGGTCCTCTGCTTCTCCAAAGGGACCGGGGGATTCCCCACATTGCGGGCATGTGCCCACGGCTCGGGTACAGTTTTATGGCACCCAACGAATTTTCCAATACAGGATACATCTAAAGTTCATACAGGCTGCGAGGAATGTTTACTATTGATACAAATAGAAAAAAGACGTTATAAATGTACAAGGCCCGTTTGGCCTGCCGCGGTGATGGTGGCCGTAAGTCCCATCCCACCCCTCCCTGTCCTCTATTTTCCAGAAGAAAGCATCGTGGGGTATTCATCAAATCGCCACCACCTTTACGGTGTAGCCGGTGTCATGCCTTCCTTTTCTTTTATCTTGCCTGCAGTGCACCAAGTCATCCATGCTTGCCCAAATATACCCGACGTGCATCTACTCCGAGTCGTTGGACCTTTTCTTCTGATAGCCCTCGGCAAAGTCGACACGCAGCGTCCTGTCGCCGATGGTGACACCCTGAAGTCTCTCGTGGGCGATCTTGGCTGAGTCAACATCCGCGAAATCGGCGTGGGCGAAGCCACGGGGCCAGCCAGTAGTGCGGTCGACAGCAATGCGAACATCACGAAGGCCATTGATTCCCTTGAATATCTTGTTGAGCTCAGTATCGGTGGTCTCGTAGGGGATATTGCCGACGAAGAGCTGGGAAGTGGGTGGCCTAGCCGCAGGGTTGGAAGGACCACGCCCTGGGGCCTTGCCGCTGGTGTATGTCCTGGGAATGCAGGTAATACGGCGACCGTGCCAGAATGAGCTGTTAACATTGGCGCAAGCAGCATCCAATGCCTCCTTTGAGTCGAACGTCACGAAGCCAAAACTGTAGAGCACACCAGGGTTAGTAAATTTCGAATACACCATAGTGATAGAACCAAACAGAAAAAAACATACCCCTTGCTCATACCACGAGGGTCGCGAACAACGTGTGTGTCGAGAACGGCACCATACTTCTCGAAGGCCTCCTTGAGGTGAGTCTCGGTAACCTCAAAAACCAAATTGCGGACAAAAGCAGTGTGGGCTGAGAAACGAGTTATTAGCTTTTGAAAGCACATAATTGAGAGGGCAAAAAGCGGTGCATACTGTTAGGAGGGACAGATGGCTTAGAAGTGGCCTCTGGCTGGACAACTTCGGCGGTCTCCTGGGAAGCCTCCTGGATCTCGGCACTGCTCTGCTCGGCCTGCTCGGCCTGCTCGGTCTGCTCGACGGGCTCCTGAGAATAGAAGCGTACGGAGGAGAACGACACCAACTTGGAAGCAGTGGCGGCTCTGGCGATAGTAGAGGCGAATGGGGTGGTAGGAGCCTTGACAGACACTGCCCTCGAAGCCGAGAGGGCAGATCGGAAAGCGGCGCGACGAATGGACTGCCTATCAAGGTGGGATGACTTGTCAGCGGGCGCTCGATGCATTTCAAGGAATCTAGGGAGATTGAGGCTCGACTTACATGTTGTATTTCTGTTTAGAAGGATGAGAGCAGAAAGGGTCTGGTTGGGCCTTCTTTGGATGTCTTGTGGTGGTGCTGGCAACGGCAGAAAGCGTGGTGAAATGGATGAAGAATTGTTTGAGCTCGAAGCCGGCCTTTGCGATTGCTTGCCAGAAATTTTTCGCCCAGGATCCCAGGCCCGCGGATGAATGCGCTAACCCTAAGTCGGCTTGGTGGGGCGGGGTTCAGAATGCTGTTTCTAACGTTGCAGTAAAAAAAAAAAAAAAAAAAAAAAAACCTAACACGAAACCCGAACCCTGGAAAAAAAATTCCTTGCAGCATTAACCACCAAGGTTCCAAAACATTTATCTCTTATTGTTCTACCCATTGCCTCGACAGTTCAGTAATTACCTGAGAAGAATACCAAACTCGTCGTTTCAAAGGTCCGTAAAGTCCTTGATGGACAATGTCAGTAAAACTCTTTCCTATCCAAAGAATCCCTCTCACTCTGCCCTGGGGAGATCAAACTGGTATGGTAGGGATTCTTTAACTGTCTCTTCTTGGACCCTCCATCCTCTTCATCTGTCACGAGACCAAGAATAACCACCGCTCATCCTCACTCTTTTCGCTTCCCTCCAAGGACCACCATCCAAGTCTTCCACTGTCATGTACTCCACCACTCAACCCCCGGCTCCACTTCACCTACCAGGTACTCCCATCCCAGCGTACACACAACACAAACACACTCAACTCATAGAAAACCCACCCAATTCACATCCAATCTCAACAAATTCACAAAACCAAAACAACAAGGGCGTGTGGCTCAGTTGGTAGAGCGCCCGCTTAGCATCTCCTCCTATTCTTACGAGTGAATAAGTTACTGCGGAAGGTCCCCGGTTCGATTCCGGGCTCGTCCAAACTCACCTTCCTCTCTTCTCTCTTGTTTTCACAAGGGCGTGTGGCTCAGTTGGTAGAGCGTTCGCTTAGCATGTTCGCTTTGGATATGCGAAAGGTCCTGGGTTCGATTCCCAGCTCGTCCAAATAGAGTGAAAAGAAATATGGGAGTGGTGGGTGTTAATTTTTGTGTTTTTTGTTAGTTGGGAAAGCAAGGGTGGGTTTGTGGAGAGGAAGAGGTTTGGGTCGTTTACTTGTTTTAGTGGGTGAGGATGGACTCAAGCTAGGACATGGCAAGAGGTTGTCATCGCTTCGTTTTGGATGTCTTCAATGTGTTGTGTTATTATCAGCTTACTGGAAGTTAGGTTCCTGGTCAGTTGAGTCTTCCGTCTACGTTTCTTCTACTTCTGTCATACAGGAGTGTTGAAACAGTTCGACGTCAGCCTAGAGTCTTTCAATGTCTTGCTTGCTTGCTCTTCTCTCTGCAAGTTACATTTCTCGAGTGTCTGCAGTACTTCCAAGCTCCTGAGCAGCTTTCTAAACCCGACAAATGCGTCTTACTGATGCAAACTTCTACAAGCAAGCTGCGTCCTCCTTGATATCTTACTTTCGGGAATGGAGGAAGCGAAAAAGGAATTGTTCACACATCACTATTGACTCGGCAGAGACCTTCAATCACAACTCCATCTTCAGTTAGGCCACACCAATATCTACACCCTGAACTAAAACGGTGGTGACAAACGTGTCTGTCGTGCCCGGTTGGAGAAATTTCCGTATGACGGCCTCCAACCTTCTCAACAATGACCATAAAAACCTGTTGTGGACTGCTTCTCCCCGAGCTCGCGCCGCCGTTGCCTATCACAGCAATATAGTTCAAACACGGACAGACCATTCCATGGTTCGATTACAACCATGTGCTCATGCCACCTTGGTACTTCCTGCGTGTCTTTTGTATGATGGCAAAAGGTTTGAAGCAGTTATATTAATCTTGTGCACGCGAATGGTATTGCCCGAGAGAATCACCGCATATGATGGGCAATAACCACAATCATGATGTTTGCTGTACCATGATACATGCAATGTCTCTCAAGAAGCTCCCTTCACAATCCTACGATACTTCTACAAAAGAGGCATAACAAGAGTGAAGGTGTAAGTAAAGCTTGTCAAGGGGCCTAAATACCGGGGCTGGATAGACACGTACCCCTGAATATGATATGTCGCTTCGTATGGTATATTCCATCGCAGGGCATGAGAACTCAACAAATGACAGTTAAGTTAACCGCTAAATTCAATTTGCAAAATCTACCCACCCTTGGAGCCAGCCCAATATAATAATGACATGTCAAGCTGCAGTCATATAAATTGGTGTCCTGCTGTGCTCTGATCTGAGTTGACCAAAGCTGTGAACCCTCATCTAATCCAGAGGTACTTAAGTTATTAGCAAAGAACCGAAAAGACCCGGCCGAATAAAAGCAGTTCTTGTCTCATTCAGAAAAACAAACTGTGAGGCTATCTGGCTCATGACTTGAACATAAAAATGCTCACACAGAATGCCCTGCAGTCAAAGTCGTTCAACCTACACAAAACTATTCGCCGCTGTTTTTACGTACGAAAAATCCTGGTAATCGTAAACCCGTGCTGTCAACCTGTCTGTTCTTACCTCGCACAGCCTTGCACTATGATGGTGCTGTGTTCTTCTGTGGTCTTGTGTGCCTTGCAGTAGTTTTTGGTCTTCCGTACGATCGTTATAGTGCGAGCTTACCAAGGGCCGAATCTGGATTTGCATGATCGAGGGAGTACAATATACGCCGTATACAGCGCAGATTCAGCGAAAGTAGCCGAGGGTAAGTTACCTGATGTCTCTGCGCCGATGTGATGCTATACAACCTTTTTGTTCTTCGTCTTCTGACAGCACCTATTTGCGCGAGATAAACCTCGAGGTTGAGGATCCACTCCTGTAGTCCTCATCTCTGTTTAGTCAACCGCCGGAAAACAGAATATTTCCATACTATTTGCGGGCTGTTTCTCTATGGCTTGCAAAAAAATGCTGACATTTTGCTTTGCTGTAAGTGGGTGGAGAGGAATTACAGAGATCACAAGACGGAGCACCAGCATCAGCACAACAGAACAAAGCAGAAGGGGTTACCTCGAGTAACCTCTAAACCCGAAGGTACGGGTCGCCACTAATTGCTTCTGAATCGGCACTAAGCTCGGGTAGTACGGCTTGCGGCAGTACGGAAGCTGGCGGGATGGATCTGTGGACTTGATTTGGATGCCATCTGACCGGTGCCGAGAGCAGGACACGTGGAATAGGTATTACAACGTACAAGGAAAGAGATGGCAATTTGCAGTCCTACCTCTCACGTCGTTAGGTTTGGTTGTGTTGTGTGCCTGGTTGCTTTTGTTCGCTCGTACTTCCAAACCTGGAATGTAGATCCCGCGCCTCTATTTGAGTGAAGGATGAAGGAATAGGGGCTGTTAATCCTCAATGACCGGCTCCCGGACTTCCGCCCAAGTCTCTGATCGGATAAGGGGGGTGGTGAACTGTAAACAGATATGTCTTGGTCACCCCCTGGTCTTGGCGGCGCTGAATGACAAAACTCGCAGATACGAGAAGGGCATAGGGTCGATGCCCGAAAGGTTTCGGCCAGGGAGACAGCCTCAGGACTGCAAGCGCACGCGTGGCTGTTTCCGAGTCGGTGTTTCTGTGTCTTGTCGTACAAGATTGTCATCTAACCGGTGGTAATTACCTCTATTGGACCGAGTGGTTTATTGTGCGATCCTCCAGCCCGCAGCTTGTCTGCACAACCCATTAGAAGCCTGCGATCTCAACAAGCGAGAAAAAGAAATGACAAATGCTACTAGACACGAGCGATGCGATCGGATGCTGGCCGTAATAGTGGCTCTCTATAGGGTTGCTTGCTGTCGGCCGGGACTCAAGGATCGGTTATCTGGCATGACGGGTTGTCGCCGAAGCAGTGAAGCCTGAGATACACATTGGTGTTACGATATATCCCCAAGTCAAGGTCTCACCTCGGTGCCGGAGAGCTTTGAATGCTTGATGCTCGGAGACCCTCCAAAAAAATCGACGGCTCTAGAGTGGGACCAATCAGTCGGCAGTGTCTGCGGTCGAAGCGATGTACAATTCGATGGTATATCAAACGCCTCCAAGAACAAACTTTCTCTCAGCCGCATCCAGATCTGATATGGGGAGAAAGGCCCTTGCGTTGAGGTGTTGTCAAGCGTGAAACGGGGCGTTAAGATTCTGCCAGGGGCTTGCCGCCCAGTGGGTTTGGCGGCGTCCAGTGATCGGCATCCCAGACAGCATTTTGATGTGCGCCTCCGGAAACGATGGCGACATCCTCGACCCCAGCCGGGAGGATCTCCCGTCCCAGGTGAACCAGCCAGGCCGGGCTCCCGGATCATGTCGAATTTCGTCATGAATCAGATGTTTCCAATAAGAGGAGGTGGAAGTGGAGGATACCCAGCCACGGACAAGTTTGCAAGCTGTGAGAAGAGAAGGGCGTCCACTACCTCCACCTTTTCCACAATCTTTCTAGGTTCACAATTTCCCAGAAAGTCTAGTTTGACGGTCGATTCTATCCAGGCTGTTATCGGATAAAGTGGAGGGCATGTGACTTATACGGATACGGGTGGGACGGTGACAGCGGGAATCGTGACGAGAGGCTGTTTTGAGACTTGAAGTCGCCGACTCGGGGACCACCAAGATTCTAAGAGGCTTTGGTGGCTTGAATCCTCCATTGTCTAACTGGATCGCTCCCGACTGGACTCCGCAGAATCGGTTTTTGGCGGCCGGAAAACACACCTCCTGGAAGTGAAGGGAGAGATGAGGAGCTCGAGACCATGATATCTGACATATCATCTAGCTCGTAGCGACCATTGTTTCCGAGTCTTTGGCCCTGCTCAAGCTATCTCAAAATGGAGGAGTCAACAACACTAGCTTGACATCTCAAAAGAAATAGTGCCGGCGGCTGGCTTGGAACAGCTGTGTGCGAGGTCAGCTGGGAGATGTTGGAGACGGTAGCCATCACTGATAACCAGTGTCCTGCAATGGCGATGACTGATCACAACACCACCAGCCATTGACAGGTCAATAACCACTCCGCCACGTCCGCACATTTCATGAATTGCGAGTCGATGCTAGATTGCAAATGTCAGAGGCGATCGACTGGGTGATCTTGGGCCGTGTATCGTTAATTAGCCAAGTCAGCACCCAATTGGGCAGTTTGTGATCGACCGGGAGTTGAGCAACGCAGGGTGATAAAGTGGTGATCAATATACACGGCTTAATTAGCACTGCAGGCTACAAAAGAAAAACAAAAGTCATGACGTTTGGGGCTGTTGCTTTGTTTGTCGTGCCGCGGGCCGTTGGAAACGTCTCAATGATGCGACTCGGGTGCTGCTCAAACAGCACTAGAGTTGGGTGAATCGAACAAAGACCTGAGAGCTGAGTGTTGCTTTGCTGCGCGCCAAGACACGACACATGCCACTGTCAACTCCCAGAATAATCATCCGTTACTTTGTACCGAAAATAAATTAATCAGGGCAAGAAACTGCATGGCCAGCACGCCCAAACCCACATCGCTCCGAAAAATCCTTGGTTTCCAGGAACCACGGCCACGAGGGCTCGTCGCAACCATCGCCAATTCGGGTCGGGAGTTCCCTTTATTTACGAACTGTCCCTTGCGTTCTTTCCGGCATCCTCGGGTCGCCAGAATCATGAATCAGAAACACCTTGTCCAATTCCATGGGACTCAAAGTGATAGTGATGATGGTGTGGTGATGTGGTGGTCGGTTGGAGCGTCAAGGGTCTAATTATTTCGCCGAGAAAGATTGGGCAAGCCTTGGGCGACACGTGCCGGGAGCGCAAGCGTCCGTGCATCTGATCTGTGGGGTTAAGATCTCATTAGCGTATTGCTTGCAGGCCAGGGATCGCAAACTGCCCTGAGCTCCGATGCGAAGTACACTTAGATCGAGACGAGGCAATATTTGCCGTCAAAGTCAAGCAGGTTCAATTATTCGCCCAGCGGCGCTGTGGCCCTTTGAAACGGCGTAACTTCCGGGTCGCACTGTATTTGTCCTCGTCTCACCTGCCGAGATGAGTGCTGCAGGCGCATTTTTCTTC